ACCAACTGAAAGGACAGAAAGATTTTGGAATAAGAGCTGTGGTAAAGATACAAACAGAAATCAAAATTCTCAGTTATTCAGTTCTGTAAATGTTTGGAATTTTGACTCGAAAAGTAAACCAAAATTAAGTAAAATCAATAAAATGTTTGAAACTTTAAAAAAATCTACATGGTCTTGTTGTCACTATTTACTATCCCATCCTCCCCTATTGTGCAGACACTAAATCACTTATATTTGGGGACCTGATACAAAAGCCTGAGCCTTCAGAAGACTCATCACAGATCAGAGCAGGGTTCCCTGTCTCGAGGCACTGTGAATCACTGCCAGTAGCAGAGGAAGTGCTCCACACCAAGAGCCCAAATCATTCCTGTGACACCACTGCCCCCTCCCACCTCTGGGTTAACCACACCGACTGCTGAAAGTAGAGAGGAGCCCCAAGGGGTGGGAACATCCCATGCAGACCTGGGGAGCTCTGGAAGAATTCTGCACTGACTAGGGCAGGATAGAGGGGCAGGGCACAGTGGGCCTCATCAACACAATGGAACTTTTTTGGAACCTTTCTTTAAATAACAGCTAAACTGTAGAGCAGATGGAAATACAACAATTAGTCAGGGATGGGAAACTAAACTGCACACATTTTTCCAGCAAAAGATTTCACCAGGAAGAAGTTGTTACAACTAAATGCAGATCTTTTAAAGTTATTAAAGAAATTATAAGCAGAACAGGATTACTTTGGGTTTTATTTTAGAGAAAGGTAAGGAGAAAACACCGAACCAGGAGTCACATTTTTTTTAGCAAAGACTTCTTTTGTCATTTATCTTATTCTGAACTAGTGAAGAAGCATAGAGGCTGCTGTGAACTACAGCCAACCAGATCAGAGGGAGAAGGAGCAAAGGGAGGACTGTGAGCTGCTGAACAGATGGAGCGATTAACTACACTGGGGGAATCCAGTCAAAGCAACCAAGAATAACTAGCAGGGAGCATGGCTTTCAAGGGCATTTAACAGGAAACTGGGCTTTTTTGGACTTTTTTCTGCTTTTCTAAGTTGACATTTTATTGTAGTTTCTTTCTGTTTCCTCTCAGCTACTTCAAATCCTCACCTTACTGTTGCAAATCTGGAAAAAGTTGTTATTTTTGAGCTACAAGAAAATGAAAAATTCCCTAGGTTTCTGGGCAAGGGTTCAAAATGATAATAAATATTTTAATAATGAGACCTAAAACTTGAAATGGTTCACATGTTGCTGTCAGTCAAGACCCTGACTTGTCTGACCATCTGCTTATCTTCCTGGTTTTACTGTCATCCATCTATCAAACTAAAACTATGATCTTTTGAGGCACTGTCTGCAGCTCCTGCTAATTTCAGTCTACATTTAAGGAGCTTATGTGTTTTGGAGATCAGATAGAAACGTGTCCTAAAACTGATAACTGAGTAAACATGAAGATTCACAAATACAGTATTCCATACACGTATTCTGACAATTTTTTAAAATAATAGTGAAAGCAGTATACAATGCAATAATTGTATGCAATTATCTAGAGTGGACTCAAATGTATATCAACATTTTCCAGACATGCAGAAAAATATACAAAGATGTAAAAGTTTTCCAAATACAAACATTCAGCTCCTGGAATGCTAATCAAAAGTTCAGCCAGATTTTAAAACCATGAGAAAGTTCTGCAGAGGATATTTCATAGAACTATTTGTGTTGTGCAATTTTTCAGCAGACTATGTGAACCAAATTTTGAAGTCATGCAAGAATCCATCAAAACAGATGCTGTACTGGGAAGAAGAATGCTTGGATTCTATTTCTAGGGCTAGGCCAGACCTCAGATAAATCTGAATCACTTCTTTCAGGCTCATAATCTGTTTTGCCTGCTACAATTGCAGTCATCATAATTCTGCAATGACAACAGGCCCTCAAAATGGTCAGAGTCCGTATTTTCTAGTTTGACATTAATTGCAGCAGTAAACCAGGTATCAAGTGCTGACGCAAAGGCAAAAATCTGTAGCTGCCTGACCATCAAAAAACAATCTGAGGGTGAGCAATATTTTTAACTTACTCTGCTGCAAGACTTGGTGAGATAATTGTCTGCACATACACAATATGCAACACAGAATAATCTTCCATCCTCATGCATTTACAGACTCCTTAATTCAAAATGTTCCAAGTTTTCCAATTCTCTTTTTACTATGTCAATTTTACTGTGTGAAAAGATGGAAATTATAGTCTTACATAGAAAAAAAAGACTACTGAAGAGATAAAATATGCTTTATAGAAAAAAAATCAGACTCATATGAGCTTTGTCTATTATTTTCTAATTAGATGTCAAAGCAATAACTGAAAGAACCATCTCAAGAGACATCTGAGATCAGGAAGGTGAAATGGTGAGAACAGACAATGGTTCACTAGGTATTGTCAGCATTTTGCTCTCCTTTGATCAGATGTTGAAACAAAGTAACCCAGAAATTTATCAGGAGGGAAAATACTGTCCAAACAAATAAATTCCCGTGTTGGCAGGTTATAACTTATCTGAAAAACTGCCATATGCAAAAATCATTGCATACAAGGAATAGTGAAACTTGCATTAAAAAAAGGAGACGACTCTAATTTGAGCAAGAACCCTCAAAATAATGGTATAGATTGCAGTGTACTGGGTTGGCAGATACCATAAGGATCTCTTTATACTGTGTGTAAAATTTGCCATTCTCCTGCCTGGGAAGAACCAATCAGAACAACTCATAGAACCTTACATAATTTTTTTTCTATGATTAATGATGTTTTCTGAGGTTTCTCAGACCCAAGCGCTTGTTTTCCAGAGAGTGGGTGCTGTGACCCATTGTGGAGTGTATTTCTAAGTGCCTATAGGTTACATGGCAAATTTGCATATATTTTTCATCACATGAGGAAAAGGAAACCTGTTCGTTCTGCAAGATAAGCATTATCAGCTTGCACAGTGATGGGGAAAAGACTTGAAATTGTCCAGGGCAAGAGCTGGATACCCTGGGGCACTCCCAGCCCAGCAGGAGAAGGGTAAGCACACTTCAATCACACAAAGTGATAGAACTGACCTTTCTGTGGAACTAGAGTCACAAAAGGGTAGTACAATAAGAGACAAAGTTGAAGAAAGTTGTAAAGAACAGGAGCTGGTTACAGTCTGTCTTCTTGAATATGCATCCCTCCTACTACAAGCTGGCAAGTGATTTTTTTTCTCACAATATGGTGCACCACATGCATGTTTTTCACTGCTGTAGTTTCCTGAAATAGCTCAGTATACAGTAAGATATGGGGCATTGGCAAAGAAAGAGAGGAAAGAGGTCACATTCATAGCAATCCCAAAGTATCTTCACTTCTGTTTAAAATGTTTCAATCTATATTCCTGGAACTGGACCTGCTAATTAGAAAAGAAAAAGGTAGCATGCATACAATTCACTTCTTATTTTTTAAATAACTCTTCTTAACCATAGCAGAAATTATTGCTCTTTAATACAGCAGACAGTGCAAGTATTTCTTCCTTTTAGATTATGTTATCAGGGAGACAAATTTAAGGAGTTGATATAACCTCCTCATTTCTTGGCCAGTTTAATTCTGAATTCTAATCTCCTAATACATAAGACACTGTATAATATTCAATCACACATGACATTAATAGTACATATTAGCAAAAACTACCTATTATCTTCCCTTTTTCTGTGAAAACACATTTATTTTTTCGGTCAAAATAAAAATATATTATCATGACTCAAAGAATTATTTGATCTGAGAAATTTAGATCTAAATATATAATATTTAATAAACAGTATTATGGCCATTTATAGTTCAGACATTATATAAACTCGAACTTTTGTTTTTCATGTGATCATCATTTCTGCAGAGGAAACTGCACAGAGAGAAGGTGGCTACCTGGAGGATTTCCTCACTTCTAGAAAGAGATATCGTTCTTTAAGAATAATATTAATACCACAGAAAATTCATCTGAAAGAAACTTCAAAATTAAGTCAGCACAAATGTCTGGGAAATTGATGTCTTACACACTGTACCAAATACACCAAGGAAGTTCCAGCGGTCTAAAATGCCAGTCAAACCTTCTCAAGGCTACCTTCTATTTCAAGCCTATATTCTTGTTACATATATGTTATAGCTCCTGGTTAGATAGTGAAGGTGCTCTAGCATCCCACTATGTAGCAAATGGGTTGCAAACCGGTAAAACTAACAATGGCTACCCGAGCTAAGTTGGGACTGACAGGTTATGTGGGGAATTGTACCTTTAAAACACTTTTATAAGGAGAACTTGACATCAAATGAAGCAGGTGCTTCCATTATTAGCTCAGATTGGTTTAACAGGATCCTTTTGGGGCAGTTATTTGGCTAAAACTGGAAAATTTTAAGTTATTCCAAGTTCCCTGCTGGGGGAGAAGCAGAACACACACTAAACAAGAAGAGGGAACAGAACTGACAAAGAGGTTTGACAGAAAAGGAGAAAAAGACTTGGTGCTTTGAAGGAACACTAAGGAAGAAGAAGCAGGATGATGAGAAAAGTGATCAGAAATGATGATCAGAAGAGAAGTTCCTCTGGAGCAGTCTGATCAGTGTCTACCTGAGAACTTTACTTCCAACAGCTGCCTTATTTGAAGCCTTCCCTTCATTTATGTACATCATCACACTGGTGCAATTAATATATCCCCATTATTACATTCAAAATACATTGAAAGCGTCCTAGATAAAAATTAGTTAATAGGAAGGTTATAAAAAAAAAATCTTATCCTAAAATAAGCTGTTGAGCACAAATACAGAATATAAATTTTACCTGAAGCTATAAAGCATTTGAATAATGGATCATTTTGCAGCAAGCAAAATTTCTCAGGTAAATTACAGAAGAAATGTAATAACTAACACATAAGCACCCACACAGACATGCCTTAGAATGCACACACTAAGAACAAATATAACCAGCAAAGAAAACAACTGGTGATGTTAAATCTTGTTTTATTTTTTGCCAGTAGCAGAATAACATGAAGGTGGTGACACTCTATATGAGGGACATCTCTTAGTAAATGTAACAGAAAGAACAGGCCCAAACAGATGGAAAAGGAAAAGGTAAACACCCTGTACCATGATTTTTGAGGAATGCGTTCTGTCATTTACTTACAGAGTTATTTTCCACACATGCCCATGATAATATTCCCTAAATAATTAATGATGTAACTCTATAGGTAAATAACTTTGAGGAATTTTGAAGACAAAATTTTATATAAGTGAGTGGAAGAATGCTTAGTTATTAGTTTCCTTCACTAAAGTTCCAGTCTAAAACAACAGAAAATGGTATCTACGTTGTACAAATTAAAAAATTGAGTATTTGACAGTAGCCATTTTATTAAATCACAGAGAACACTTTTCCTGATATATTATTCTCCAGGCTTTTCCTCCTATTTAATAAGCCAAACATCAGCACATTGCAACAACAAAAGATTTGGTTGGGTGGATGTTGTTGCTCTGGGGGGGTTCCCTTCATGGTTTGTGCACTACTTTTCCCAAAACTGTTACAAATATAAGCATTTTATGCATTTCCAAATGACTTCCATACTAGCATTACCAGAAGAGAACACTGATGACAAAAGGAATTTTCAAACAAAACCACATTGAGGTTATTCCTGAATACAAATACATTCATGTCCATCTCAACAAATTCCTGTTCTGCTCTAAATATTTTGAGTGCAGCTTCTACAGTACTATAGAAGTTTTTTCATACAAAACTGTATTCTAATACAGAAGGGTTGAAAATCTTGTTTGTTTACCTGTTCCATCAGCTTCTGTTCTGATCATCTGCAGAGACCCAAGTTAAAATTCACAATAAGGAATGGGTAAGTTTAGAAACAACAGATCACACACTCCTGTAGAGAGAGGAACCTAAAACCAAGCAAGGTGTTTAGGAGGTAGACTTGCAAAACAAATAGATATCTGGATATGAAAGTAGAAAACTTACCATTCACTCAGCTGAAACAAAAGAGCTAAACCAAAACCAACTCTGCCAGATGAACATTTGAGGACAAAGAAACTGAAGCAAATTTAGGAGACCTGGTGTAGTAACAGGAATTGAATACAGAAACAATGTCTGAATGAGCTCAAGGATAATTTGCATTACCAGTTACTGGTTAAAGTGTTTTCCACATTATTCTTTGATGACTGAACCATCAATAATTAAAGGACACAAAAAGCCAAATCAATGTGAATGCTGTTCTTTCCCATTCCCTACATATCAAGAATCTGCTGCTGTTGCCCAAGCAGACATACCAGCACTGCAGATGCCAGTTTTCAGATCCCCAGTTCAGCTGTGGTCACTTGCAGCAGTACCCCTGCACTGTAAGAGAAAGGTTGCAGAAGTTAGAACATATTACAAAAGAGACTTTGCTTTAGGATTCATGAATATTTCTGATTTTCTCCTTTCCCATCCCCTAATTTCTTACCAGAAAAAAACATTAATAGTGACCATCATTGTAGTTTCTCTATATGGATGATGATTTCTAGCACAAATAGATAATAGATAGAAATAATATATTTATCCTATAAAATCATAAACTTCGTGCATGTCCTTTATGAATGTTCATCATACATAAAGAATTGAAAGTCACGGCAAAATGTCAGTGATTGAATCAGAAAAAAAGTGAATTATTATTTGTTATATAATGTAATAAGAAGCATTGTCCATGCTTATGGGTAGCTGCAAATATTTTTACTAATAGTATTTATAAAGTAGACAAAAAAACCAACAAACTTCCAACTTCAGAAAGGAAGAAACAATCAATTATTACATTTTCTGAAATACTGGGACTATCAACGCAATCTAGTAGTTGGTGGTTTTAATTCTTCATGTCAGAATTTAGAACCATGTAGGAAACAACTTCATGTTTATTGACTTAGAGATTTCCTTCTTCTGGAATCTGTGAAATGGGTCCTATTCACCTGCTTTGTTCCTGATCCCCATTTTCGGGTGGCACAATTTATATAATAAATAAAATAAATAAATAAATCTTTCACTGGCAGGTTCCTTCATGCTGTCAAAGAAGAAAGTTTCAGTTTTACTTTTTATTTTTCAGGTCTCCTTATGCTCATTTAATGAAGCATAAATATGGATGGCAATTTTCCTTACAGCAGCTGAAAACATACAAAATACATTCAGCTGCAAACACACCTTTTTTTTAGCCAGTCTTTAAATAGTTCCCTTGGTTTCCATTATTTTTACAGAGACCTTTACTTCCTTCACACATGTGAGACACACCATCTCCAAAACAACAACAGAAACTCATCACACTGATGTCAGGAAAAGAAAAAACATATGGAACACTCAGAACAAGAAAATCCTTTCACACTGTGGATCCATATTACTATTCACTTCATTTTTACTTCTTATGAGCCAAGTGCTCAATACTAAAGTCTGTATGTCATTCCTTCCTCTTTAACTGTAATTAATCCTACAAAGAGTCTGTCAGAAGTATTTTAAAGTACTTATTACTTAAAATATTAATTGCTGATAAGTTCTGATCAAAATATACCTAGAAGTACCAGAATTTTGTGATGTGCTATTTTCTATTTGTGGGTTGAAATCATGGGGTTTTGTCAGATATATCTTGTCAACTGTTTCCTGTGCCAATGCCATTGCTCAAAAACTGAGGGCACCCCTGAAAAGTCAGAAAAGATTTTTTCAAAATATACAGCTGAAATGTCTATGGGAGAAAGACTGCACATGTTTTGGGGTTTTTTTCTTCAGTTTTCTAGACCTCTATCTCTTGTTTGGCAAATACTTTATTTGAATAAAGTATTTCTTATTCTCCTTTATCCTCATATTCTCCCTCCTCTTCTATACCTCATGGCCACCATTTGTCTATAGGTGAGATTTTTCAGCTGGATCTCTGGGGCTCTGTTTTGCCTTTCTACAAAGAGGAGGACAAAATACAGAAAGGAAGAAGAGAAAATAAAGCTCCAATTAATTCATCTTGAGTGAATAGGCAAACAGGTGCAGCTGAGGAGGGATCACCCCTCAAAAAAAGTCATATATTCTTTTGGTGACATTTAATTATACTTTTCAAAATATCTCAGCTCTAAAAAACAGGCATTTCATTTCAAAGAAAGGAGAACATAGCAACATTCTCTTATACAGAGATGAGAAAGCACATCTATGAATCATAGCACAAAACCAGCTAACCCTGCAGCAGATTCTTCTGCCAACCAAATCTAGAAAGGACAGAGTTTGAAGGATTTTTGCATTTACTCAAACTAAAACATTCATAAGCCTGCAATATTAACACATCCCCATGCTGATTCCCAGAGACAGAGCCCTGGTCCTCAGCCAGGACACTCCATTCCAAGCTGACACATTTCATTATGGCTTTGTTGTATTTCCAGACCCTTTTGGGGCACACCAGGGGCTCAACTCCAACACTGTTCAAGTATCCACTGTACAGTGATGTATATTTTACAGCTGGGTTTTGTGGAAGATGACAGATTTGGTACACTACATGGATTCTAAAGAATTCCTATAAAGTGTGAAAAAAGAGTGAATTCTAGAACCAGAGGAACAGGTTGCAGGGCAGAGCTGTCCTCCAAGTCAGCCAACAGAAAAGGAAGACAGTATTTGGAGTTGCCAGGAGAAAACGTAAAAGAAAAAATAGGGAGGAGTGATCCTAAGAAGTTATTTCATCCATTAGGCAGCAAATTCCACCATTTCTGTGGGAAAATACGAAATAATTAGTCGTGAGAAAACATTTCTACTGGAGGAAAACAGAAAAATTATGGGCTCTAGAATATATGTAACAATTAAAAATGCTTCACTTTATTCTTTCACAATGTTTCCTTCTTCCTTTACTATTTACCCCAGTCAAGACATTTTCATTACATCTAATGTTAATATCCAACCTCAATACCCACTGGGCAGGATGTTGTAAATAAAGCACATTGCTTCTCAAAAAAAACAAAGCAAAAAAACCACCCAAACAAAACAAAATAGGAATAAAATAACCAGACTTCAGGCAAAAGCTCTCTGAAAGTGCTGGAACAAGAATTAGAAAATCACAGACTTTTTTTGTGCCACAACATTTACCCTAATGCTACTTTTAGAGTAAAAGAGATTTCTCTCTTCACACAAAGGGTGTGTTCCTTGGTGACAACACATCCCTGGAGAGCCTACAAGGAGCACAGCATGTGCTCTCAGTTATGTTTTTATTGCACATGGAGACTGACTGCAGAAAAAAAAAGTTGCTCCACAAGACATCAGACTTGCCTTAACTTGATTAGGAATGCCTTTAATCTTGTCTTGGAAAAGGATATTACAGATTAGTTACATTCAGACTAGGAGCTTTTTGCCTCTATTCATTTCTACAGAATTTCAGGAACAATCTAGATGTGAGCAAGTTGAGATGGGCCAGGGAGACTGAAATATAACTCCACATAAGGACATATCAGATCTCAAAGGTATAGGACCCCAAATGAACTTTCATTTACAACTGAATGAGCAAACATCTTCATTCTACTTAGATAAACCATTACATTCCAATACACTACTTTTAAGCCCTTTGTGTACATTTAATTATACATCCTGATAACTGCTGAGATACTTGCAAACCACCTTATAAAATACATGAATATTTTATTTAGGTGGATTATCATAGTTGACATTTCCTACCCATGAACTTTGACATTCCCCTATGGAAAAAGCAAGTTTCAGCTTGAAGTGAGCCCACGGATAACGATTTGTTTGGGTGCCACAGTGCAAGGCAGCACAGCGGGTCTATTTTGGTGTTTACTGCATATATAAATACAATCAGGAAGTACAAGCATCTTTCCATCCTCCTCACAAAACCACCTTTCACAATTTATTATCTCTTACTAAAGCCTACTGTTGGCTTGATTGAAGTGTGTAGGTTGCACTATACTTACCTACAAATAAAGCACCTTCTTTTGGTTCTTAAGTTACTTCAGAAGCTCTCCCTGTTATTACATGCCTCCTTTTCAAATTATGAATTTCACACACTTCACTGCTTTTGTGTTTCATTTAAAGCCTTGTTTATTGGTGGCACAAAAGTAAAGCTTGACTAGTAATGCCTGCCTTTTTCTTTTTATGCTTTCCCTCATGGGATGCAATTCAGCTCACATTATTGATGTGAATTATTCATTTCTGAAAGTCTTTCAAGTAGGTCTGAAACAAGCAGGTTCCTATTTTTTCTACCCTCAGTAAGAAAGAAGAATCAAATTAAAGAGTTTCCATCCTTTCATACATATGACTTGATGACAGAAAATACATAATCATCTTTCTCAACAGTTACTGTTAAAATCTATATCTAGATAGACTACTGTTCCCAGCCAAATCAGGTTTTTTGTGACAGGACTACAGGATTGTTTGTTATGACTTCTTCAAATGTAAGATTGTTTTCACAAACTAAAGACTGCTACACCTCAAAAGGCTTACGACAAACATGTAAAAAAGTGGAGGAGGTAAACCAAATTACCTCTATGGCTAATTTTATTTAATATAAAATTAAAATGCATAGATTTGGTACATATGTTTTATTACTACTTAAACTATTTTATATTCTTTAAAAAATTGATCACTCACTTTACCTGCATTCAGAAATGTGTATATAAAGAGGAGACAATTCTACTAAGTTAATACCTAACTCCATAAAAGAGTTTTTATCCAGAATGCAAACTCAGTAACTATATGAACCCTCTTGCTCATCTAATGTTCAGACTAGCAATATTTTCCTTTAGTCCTATTTTTGAAATTAGATAGCTCTGCTCAATGTTACAGAGAGCACATTAGATCTTCAGGTTATGTGAAAATGATAGTTGTCATCTGCTATCAGCTATTTCCTTCATCTTTGCTCTTTTGGTAAAAGGTTTGCCACAGGCAAAAAAAAAAAAAAAGGTAGAAAATCAACCCCACTGGAACAAGGGGTGTGTTTGGGTTTGGGTTTATTTTAAGATTGGCTTGAGTTAGGAAAACAAACTGAAAAACTGGTAGATGACCTAGTTTTTATCCCAGGTACTCTAGAAGTGAATGTGGTTTATATATCAGTTTATATATATCCATATGCACACAAACCCAAAATGATGAGGACTCTCAACACTGTGACTCAAGCACTAAGTTGTGCACATCGACTTAGTCATGTGAATTTCTGTAAGTTCAGTTAAATGCAGGTTACTGAATTCTGACCACTTCTTTTGAAAATTACAAAATTTTGCTTTCCATGCTAGTTTTGCAAGGAAATAAATTACACAGATGCACTGCCAGCCTGTCAGTTCTCATCCCCTCCCTCATAACTCTTGAATGAATTGGCTAATTTTGATCAAATTTGACAAGAGGACCGGGTCTAAGAGATTTGAAGTTCCAACAAGTTTCCATGAGAACTGACAGTTGAGTAGGAGATAAAGACTGACATGAGTCTTCCCAGTGAGGAAAATATTGCTGTGTAAGCTCAGCAATTATCTATTATGCTTGACATACCCACCAGTCGACGATTGTGTATGTATCAGCCACACAATCATCTTGTGTGGAATTTGGAAGCAATTACAGGTCTCCCGTTTCTCTGCCAGCCACAGGCTGGGAAACAGAGGAGTGGTTGGCAGTATATTTTGCAGATTTTAGCAACAAAAAGTGAATGAAGAAGAGAGCTGTAATTTGATTGGACATAACCTTGTTTGAAACCAAGCTTCAGCATATACACTGTAATCAGACTAATTTGTTAAAGTTTCCAAAGTGTTTATAATCATGACCCACTAAAATCCAAAACAGTAAAACCTAGGAACAGGTTGGAAGCTGTCAGTGTGACACTCACTTACTGTGGGTTAACAATACTGCACACAAGTTGCTGTTTGCATTCTCCAGGGCAAGTTCAAGGAGTGCCTCGGGGTGCCAGTATTTGCTCCAGGAGACCACAGGCAATTTTTTGCTGAGTCCACAGAATTCCCTGATGGGAATTGCCCAGTTGGCACTGGGGTTGTTGGTGACACATCCTGTGATAGCATCTGAGTAACCTAAATCTTTTAGAATGTGCTTCATACATCATGAAAGAACTCATGTACCTTTCCAGACCTTTGTCTGGATGTTCCTTGGCTCACATCTAACTGAGAAGTTCCCAGTGATGCTAGTTTCTGGCCTCTGCCCAGTTCTGCTGATGGCAGCCACTGGCTCTGAAGGTTATGCTCAGTTTCTTTCCTGTCTCCCCAGCCAGTCTCACCAATGCCACGTAACAAGGAAAACAAGCTCCCCTCAGTCCTTACTCCTGTTTAATTCCCCTGTTCATTCAGGAAAAGGATTGCATTACCTTTGTATGCAAAGGCATCACACCAGGACCTCATGTTCTGTTATTTTTTGACTACTATGAATCCTTGATCTTTTCCAGTCATTGCTTCCAAAGACAGTATTGCATTCTGCTGATGAAGTACTTCACTTACATCTGCTCAGACCTAATAAACACTCCAGAACTGGAGGTCCATCAGTGTTACTCAAAATACTTGTTTGAATTATCATTTAGGCAGTCATATCCCTCCCTCATTCAGATGTTGCAGAGCATAAATGATAAGAAACCATTCCAAAGAAATCTGCATTGCAGTCATCATCAAAGTGAGTAAATAAAAAAAAGCTGACAGGCCCTTACACAGTAGGCAAATTGCTGTGATCTTCACAGAGAAAGGTAATGGTTTTCTTTGGCTTCTTTTCTTTTTAATACAGCTTTTCCTCTAAATTCAGAGGCCTTCATGTTAAATTAAATATTTTTAGCACCCACACGACCATCTAGAATTAAATTGCAGCAGTTCCTTAGCATATGAGAAAGAAAGGAATGATAGAACACTGTGATTCTCCTGTCCTTGTACAGAATCAAAGAATCATTTACTAATAGACTGAATTGCTTCCAAAAGTAGAAATCACACAGCTCCATCTTGTGGAAGATGAGATTCCTTGTGAAATGTCAGCTCAGTTCAACTTCTGCCTTAGGTAATGATTTAGCCTTAGACGTTTTAACATAGAAATTTTACTTACCACAGATATTTCCTTTCATATGTGCTTTACACGACTTCACCAAGAGCAGGAACAATCTGCCCAGTGTTTTTATTTATATTCTCTTGTTTTATTTTACTACCCATAGCATTCTTCCAAGTTGGTCCATACTTAAGCAGTTCACATTTGTACCAAGTGGTGCAGAATCAGAATTTAATTTTCTTTCTATCCTCTTTCTTTGTCCTGTAAGAGCCTGAACACCTTGCAAAAGTGTCTTCAGTGAGTACGCCATACATAAGTACTAAAGACATTTGATTTTCAGCCTAATGGTATTTCTTAGCAGGAAGCATTTTCAATACAGTTTGGATGACATAAAAATTCAGAGCAGCAGAGTTTTTCTCATTCATGTCTCAACACAGAACTCAGATCCGCAATGTTCCCATAATCTAATGCCATTAAAGTAAACCAAGTCAGAACTAGTTCTAGGTCAGATGAACCAGATAGCTTTTCACAACAGTACAAAAAATGTCTTCCTGAATTCTGGAGACAACAGTGGGATGGGTCCTTACCCCCTTGTTACAGAATCTTCGTCCTTTTGAGAGCTTTGGAACAGTTGGGACATCAAAAACCAGCACCAAAAGCATGGACTCCACGTAAACCTCTGTGCCACGCTACCAAGAAAAATTGAATGTTTATATTTTTGACTATACATTTTACTTTGGGATAGCATACTAAACCACATGTACAACACAGGTCTACAAACTGAAATCAACCAAGATAAAAGTTCTTTGGGCTTTAGTATGGAACTCATTGTAAAACTTCACAATGTATTTGGATGTTTCCAACAATTCTTGTTGTTTGAAGGTATTTCTCATAAACTGCAGTCAAATTTAAAACTTGTCTACCAGATTATCCCAGCCCACATTCACTGAAGTTTTCAGAAAAAGCAGTAGTAATGTGACTCATGGGACTACTCATAGATGACTCTGGGAACTCATTTCCCATTAATTTTCAACTGAAATGGGTGAGTGGTCAAAAATGACCAGAAACTTTCCCTCAAGTCTTTTCATTTAATTAAAAGTATAAATGATCCTAAGTATTTTCATCTTTTTAATTGGTTTTAAATTAATTTTCAGTGTGAGAGCCAGAAGTCCTAAGAGAAAAGTAAGGAATTGCTCATAGAAACTTCTATCCAAATCTGCATGATGAATGTCAACATGATAGCTAAAACCAGCTGCTTATTAAAATACTGGTTTGGACTACAACAGTCTGAGGCTGTCTCAATTAATGCATATAGGCAAAAGAAAAAATATTATCTAGAGTAAAATATCCTAAATATCATCCAAAATATGTATTTTTAACTAGTATTCTGGGGCCCAACGGGGAAAAAAATAGAATAGCATCTTGATTGTTTCCACACAAAGGATATTCTATTGCCCTATTGAGATGATTCACCAACACTTCACTCCCCTGAATTCATCTTCCATACTGAGAAACATTATGGCATTCCTCCCTCCTGGCAGAAGTCAAAATAGCAACTTTCCAGACATGACTGACAAGAAAAATACCTCATCTCTTCTGCTAACCTTTTTTCTTGTATGAAATTTCAGGAACAGTATTGACTTGATTTCATTTTATTAGGTCTTGAAGTGATCTTTTTTCCTCTCAGAAGTATTCTTGTTGCTGTGAAACACTAAAAACCAAAATCCACAGAAATTATGAAGAAAAAAGGCCAAAGGAAAAGACCTTCTGAGGTTCATACCCACAGCCCACTAACAGCTGTCAATCCTGACAAGAAACAGCTGCCTCTGAATGTGGGTGGATGAGAGAGTTCATCTTTGTCCCATCACTCTTTGGGCCATATTTCAGAATCTGCCAAGACATTTAGCAATTAGTGCCAATCATGACAGGTTTTTCTGTGATATGGACATCTATTCAAGAGATATTGGACTTACACTATCAAACTACTTTGCATCTGTATCTAAAGACCCTCTGTATGACTTCACAGCCTTCAGTTACTACCAAGATTAGCTATATTGAAACCATATTCCTCTACCATAAGAAGACTACATTGTGCGGTTTACAGCCGGAAGTTCTCTTAGGCTTTTCAAGAAGGTGCCAAGAGACAACTACTAGAAAGATCAAGCAGTTTGTCCAATAAGGCTACAGTTATTTCATTCCCCAAAAGCAGAGGATTAAAAATTATGGTAATTAGGATAAATATTGAGAAAGTATTAAAGCATTATTACAAGACAAACCAAACAACAAAAGGGTTGCTGACTATTACAACTGGTACAATTAATACTTTATAGTGATACACTGTGTTGCCTATGTTGCTTAGAAACCACATAATTATACACACTTAATCAGCCTTAACCTATGTATTTTCATTACTTTGATGCATACCATTAAAATTCAAATGTTATCAAAATATGGCATTAGAAATAAATTAGTATTTCCTATTTTATATTGAAAAAATATATGATTAAATGCTATCTATGAGGCAGATCATTCTAGTTTTAAAAAAGGACAAAGAATAGTACAAACACTTGAATCTGCTGTTTTCCACTCATCTATTTATCTATTCCTTTTGTAATCCATATGCATTTTGAATAAGGCATTGAAAGTGTAATCCCAATTTCCCTGGTAATCTAAATGGGAGATTTGGCTGCAGGAGAAATAAAACACCAGCCTTAGAGCAGAAGGAAATAAAAAGTAAAAAGCCTATAAGACTATGCAGGTAACTAGTATTAATGTAAAGGCCCTTGTTTTATTATGCATGAATAGGAGTATGATTCTTTGGATTCTAAAGTACTTTAATCAATGTTCAAGGGTTTTAAGAAACTCATTATGTATCTCTTTTACAGAATTATGAATATTTGCAAACGGGGCCATGTAGTAAATCTTCAAAGGCTAAAAAGTTAGATCAAGATGCATTTTCTAGAACTCTTCAAAATATTTCAAAATCAGAAGAGCTGCCCAATATATATTGCCACATTCAAAGTATCAACCTTCTCTTTGAATTTTAGCAACATCTATTTTTCATATATATATTACTGTTTTCCTTCCTCAGTGCTTTCCTGTGATGATGTCTGCACCATTTTGTCCAAAAGTAGCAAGAGTTTCATTCAAATAAAAAAAAAATAAAGGTACAAAATTAAAGCTCTGTATACTAAAGAGTGAGTTGATTCATTTAACTTAATTTACTTAGCAACAGTGTGAAAATAAACTTACATTATGAGTGAGCACCTCTATGACAGTTTTGAAGCTATCTCTTCTGAGGAGCATTCTGCTCACTAAAGGAAAAAAAATCAAAATTAAATAAATAGGAGAGGTCTTCAAAGACAGAATGGGGCTTGAACAGCAGCACTGCTTGAAAAAAAAGGATGTAAAGGACAGAGGTTTTTTCCATCTTCAGCTCTCTGTCCAAAATTGCCACTACAGGAGGCTCTCCAGGAAGGTAAAAACCAGCATTAAGCACATGGTCTGACAGCACAGGAGGGGCACATTGCAACATGTTGCAGCCAAAAAAGCTTTTAAAAGGGCATACAGTGAAATGCAGAAAAAAATTAGTTCAAACTTCCCTGAAGATGTTTTTGAATTGTATCCATCTGTAAGGAGTGTCAGTCCCACCACCTCTTACCTTAGCCCCACAGCCCATGGAGAAGGACTGGCCTCTGTCTCTCACCCCATAGGCATTGTATCCTGAGAGGAGCCCTGCTAGGCCTTGTTTTCAGAAGTAAAATGGGTTTTGTGCAGTGTGGAGAGGATTGAGGTCTGTGAAAAACCTCCAGAGGGGAGACAGTGATTGTTAACAGCACAAAAAAAGAACAGGAGGCAGATTTGGTACACCAAGAGTGTGTCAAAGGAGGCATAGCAGAAGAAATAATACCCATAATGAGTTATTAATGGTACTGAAATTGTACCATTCATTTGTTAAAATGAATATGCTTGACTTTAGATTTTCTTGTCAGTCTATATATTTTGATTTTATGCACCACACAGCTCAGCAGTAAATTACTGCAATTAACTTTGATTCCTTAGGATCCACAGCAGTAGCATTTCCACATCTCGTGACTGAGTCTAGAATTCAATTCTAAATTCTTGTCTAAAGTGCTTGTACAAAGTAAGTAGTTACTTTGAAAAGCTCTGACAAACTTTAGCAGAAATTCTACACAGATCTATTTTTCATAAGAAAAATATTTCTAAAAAAATCCAAAGAATATTTAGTTTATCTGTCACAGTAAAGTTTGAAAAAGAGCTGAACAGCTTGAGTTAATTCCTTAACAAACACCTTATGTATTCAGTCACCATTTTTGGATTCCAAAGACAGACATTTCAATGAGAATCTTCTCTGACAGATAAGATGTTTTTCATGCTGTTCCTTTTAAATTTTAGTAGCACATCCACAGTGAAAGTAGCACCGTTCCATCTGTGCCACTCTAGAGAGTCAGACACTTTATCTCATAACAAATCTGCGTAGCTTGCTGGTTTCTGGCTGTATGAGTACACAGGAACTTGACACAAAACAAACTACAAATAATCAGATACAAGGTGTAACTCTATAGAAGAAAGTTAGAGCCTTACCTTGGTTAGGAGAAACCACAAATCATGTGTCAGTAGAGAGTGGGCAAGGGAAGACACACAAAATATTAGAGCTCAGAGATTACACAGTAGAAGATCTGCCAGGAAATAGCAAGTAATAGGACAACTGATGTTCTGAATTTGATGAAGTGTAAGAAGAGTCAAGACAGACATTTATTTCTGATGAAGAGCTCTAATAGTTCCCATGTATGACACATGCTCTTCTGGTTTTGTTTCCATAACTTCCCAGTGAGCTACTGGGCAATTCCCAGTGCTGAATTAAGTTAACTTCCAAAAGAAGTGAGCTTCTTTGGTTTGTAAAAGTCACTGTGTGGAACAATTAATTGCTGCTGTATCACTAGAGTATAATTCAGAAAATGATACATAGATAGCAAACATCTGGAGAATTTTGTCATAACTTGGAAGTCCTGTCAAGGGATCACCATCAAAAGGGCAAAAGCCAGCACAAAATTGGACCAAATCTACTTGACAGTACTTTCTTTTTTTATCACAGCACACTTCAGTTCTGTTAGTGCACAGACTGAAAGGATTTTACAAGCTGTGACACCACGTGCTCTGTTTGTCTCCACTCTGAAGAAGAGCCAGGAAAATTAGGCATGTGCACACAGCTCAACCACTCACAGCTCGGACTCTGACCCAGCTGCATGAAGCCGATGCCCTCTGAAGTGCAATGGCTGTGGTGCTCTTACATATTCCATTAGGTTACAAATGTGGGGAGACAATGATGGTAGTTTTTTAATTGCAAAATTTGACAAATACCATGGCTAAGATAGCTGATCCCTTTCCCAAAAGCACACAACAAATCCCTCTTGCAGCTCTCTAATAAAGTTACCTTGCACCATTCATCTGGTAAATAAAAATCCTTGGAAAAATGGAAGCAATGCAAAGGCAGTTCCGAGCATATTCGGATAGTTGTAATTGCTATGGAAACCATATCTAGTCTTTTGCTTCAGAGCATCAGAGGCAAATCATAATAAACTGACAGCAAAACGAAGTGTAATACTGCCTAAGACTTCAAAGTTCAAGATTCAAGACAAAATTAAATCACTGCATTGCTTTCATACCCTCCCATCTTCAGGTTCTCTTTGCAGCACATTTCTGTGAGCACTTTGGGATTGGTTTCTGACTGGATCTCACAAGTTGTAGTTTCAGTAGCCCTTAGGCTGGCAGCGTTGCTACAGTTGTTACAAAATACAAGGATACAATTTCTTAAGCCTAGATGTTACCCTAATTTTCTTGCTAGAAATTTTGGGAAACCTGAAAACATGTAACTCCATTCAGGCAATGCAATTTTTTTCAAGCTCCAAAGAGACTGATAATAGGATCGAAGAGGGTAATGGGGTTATGGATTCAGAGATCATCAACGATAGCAATTAGCTTTAATGATTTACCTGCCTAAATTAAAGTGGGTAAAATAAGAAGCTACTAATCTTAGAGTAAAAAAAATCCAGTTATTTTAGAATATTGTATACCTTCCTTTCATTTCTGTAAATGAAATATTCTCCATTTATTTGATTGTATTTGTACTACACAAATGGGTTAATGGATAGTTCAGAATATTCTCAACATTTCATCTCCTTTCTTTGCAGCAGCCTATCTGCTGATACACCAGAAATTGTCTCCCTACTCTTCCTAATCAACCCCAACACCTCTGAGTTTCATCATACCAATTCTCAAATTTGTTTGCTGAATAAAATTAGACAATGCAATATGCATACATCTACTACCCCAAATTATGTCCAAAAGTCAACACTGCTGCTGTACCAGCCTTGATTCTCTCTAGGTACATAATTCCCAGAGAGAATACCAGCTCAAATATTACTGCAGAAAAGCACTGCACTTCAAACACTAAGCATTCCTTTTCCTTTCTTCAGATACATCCCATCCCATTACAATCTCAGAAAGTAAAATTCCACAAACAGTTTCATTTATCAAAGGCTTACAGTAAGAAGCCATTATTGTAGTTGTTTATAAGCAACAACTTCTGCTTTTTAAAACATTACTTTGTTTGGAAATTCCACACAGTTCCCTATAAATGTTACTTGTGTAATTAGGCTTTGGGTTTATGATCATCTGAACCTTGCCTTTCCCATTTCTGTTTTTTAATTTTTTTATTTTTTATTTTTTATTAGGGTCTTCTAAGCCATAGAAACCAACCAACTCCTCACAAAAAAAAATCTAGGAAACATTCATTTTCTATGCAACAATCAGTTAGATGGGAGCAAACAACCCCATTTTCTCAAGTGAAGCACAAGATGCACATTTTGCTAACATTATTCTGATAATCAGAAGGCAAACAATAACTATTCTTACCTGATGCCATTTGTTTTAGCACTTAACCACCAACATTTTTTTACACTGATGTGAACAGGCAGGATGTGAACCTTACAGACGATTCTGTCATGTGGTCACAGCCTTTTCATGATAGTTATTGTCAATCATAAAGGTGGATTTATCCAACCACCAAACCATACCCTGGGCTTTCAGAATAAAGGGTGACCAAAATATACAGCAAGTTACACAAACAGCTACACACAAACACTTAAACACTTGTTCAAAAGCCAAAATAATGTTTGGTTCTAAAAATTAGTTAAATAAAAAACCCTTTTGTTTATAAAACATAAAGCAATGTAACACCAATACAGCAAGAACATTAATTTGGCTTCTCTAAAATCTACCACTGGGATATCATCAGAGTTACCAAATAAATGTATAAAAAAAAATTGCAGGAAAAATGACACTTCTAATAGTGCTCAGAACACTATGTTGTCATCAATACTTTTTTTCCTTTTAGAGTCAGAAAATACAAAATCTTCAACTAAAATTGAAAAAGCAGATGCGTATTGCCAGTACCACACAACAATTCTACACTGGTCACAATGGTGCAAATGTTCCCCACTGCACCATTAACTGCTCCTGCTAACAAAGTAGGTTAGTAGTAAAATTACTTCTATTAGATGAGCAGCTAAACATCATTGAGTGAACATGCCCATGGCCCTCAGAAATGTGAGAGACTTGAACATAAGTACTGTATTAAAACTTTTCCCCTATCATTTCTATATATTGCTACAATAAAGAAAACTCATTGCATTTCATGACTTTTTTATCTAGAAATTAGTAAGCTGAATATTCTACACAGTCACCACATACATTATTTACATAAGATGCAGAAATAGAGGGGGAAAAAGTCAAAATTAAGGTTGCTCAGGATACTGAAGTTCAAACTATATGTATGTATCCTTAAAGTTTTAAACCTAGCTTTGTAATTGTGGAAGAAAAAAACACCCCGTGGAAATCATTAACAGCTGCTTAAGTCTAATTCAGAGCTTACTTTCAACAAATCATACTGAAGACACTTGCTGTGACTTGTATGGCAATTACACCTAAGGGGAAAAAAAAGGGGGGTTGGTAATTCCAGGGTCTCCTGGTCTGGCAGAGCCAGTGCAGGATGAGAGCTCACCTTTCCCTTATAAATGTTCCCTATCCATCAGACCACAGCCCAAATCAGTTCTTTTATTGCAGTTCATTTATTACCCAGCAAAAACATGTCATATTTAATTTTTACAATAGCCTCATTGAAAAAGAATAATTAGGTTTTCTTTTATAAGGATAATATTTTTTAACTTATAAAGAATGTTCTGTATGTAGACTGCTGGAGAAAAATTTATTACAGCCAATTACAGGTCACAGGAAGTGCCCCCCTCAAAACTACATATTCTAAGAGTATGAATAAATGTGGCTAAAACACAGGTTCTAATAAATTTCCAGATTATCAAACACAATTTTTTTCAATTTCCAATGTATATTTAAACATAAAGACAAATACCAATATTTCTAAATCCAAACAGAAACCAAATCAAAGACACAATAAAAAAATCCACAGAGTTGTGAATTTCACCATGTTTTAGCAATGAAAATACCAAATTTTACTTAAATAGAAAAGTTTTATGTAAGTTATTTAAAAAGTTTTTCTTCTCACAGGGAGTCCACTTCAGTTATTTACATGACCAGTAATAAATGTTTATGAATATGAGACAAAGGAACAGTTACTGTCTTCAGACAAGACTGTTATCATTACCCAAATGCACAGACTGTGACTCAGTCATGATTTTTACATTTTTCTCTTTCACAGCAATGAGCAATAACTTGTAAAAATTAAAATTTAAAAACAAATTAGTTGTCAAAAGTGTATCATAAAGAGTAATATTAACATTGCTGATCCAGATAACAAGGAGTAAAGCAAATGCTAATCCCCTCTCCAGGGATTTGTTCTATTGCACTACCAGACAATTAACCTGAATGTCACTAAGTGACTTTCATTTATTGTTAATATGATGAAATAAATAGATCTGTTAATGCATTTTTAAAATACACAAGTAAATGTCTTTCTTGGAGGTTGACAATAGGCTGTACTGATCATCTCATATCTTCGATCAGTTTGAAAGTAACTTATAATTTGTCTCTGCTTACTATTCTATGTGGAATGAAACCCCAAAAGTTACTCCAAATGTTTACACACATATATAAAACATAAGTTTTAGTATGTTTAAAATTAAAAACAAACCTTGGTTGTTGAATATAGAAATGTGTCCATGCACTCCCCTGAATAATATTCTCCCAGCCTATTATTCCCATATAAAACTACATAGCTCATTCTTAAGACAAATTTTATATATCCTGTTTGTATTCAAGTTATTTCTATGAATTTTTTTTCAACATTAATCTAGTGTTTTGCAAAGAAAAATTGCACAAAAATGAATTGCAAGATTTAGGCCTAAATTCTGGTCTCCTAAGGTAAGAAATGACAGCCCTCTGCTGGCTGATAAATATGCACCCACAAGAAGGATATTTCACAACAGCTTTACTTTAATACTACATTTAGCCAAAGTAAAAATATATAAAAATATAGAGTAAAAATAAAATTTTAATACAGGGATGCCTGAAATATTTTATCTGGACGATTAGGAAACATTCTGTCTACTTCCTGTAGGAAACAGCAGGGTAAGGAAATGGCTAGTTTCTAAATTATATAGACAATTCTACAGAATACTGAAATTTCTCAAAAAGGTAACTTTTTTGGGCCACAGTTTTCCATACAGCATACAAGAACAGTAAAAAATGTTAATAGTAATCACTGTGTTACTGTGCAAGTCTTTGCTTTGTTCAATTAAATGGCCTGCAGTCCACAAAAATGAAAAATTGTCAAAAAGAAAATACTGACTTTCTGACATTTTTATGGTCTAAAATAAGTTTTAAATACAAACATCAGAGAGCTTATTAACAACCAGATAAAAACTGAGAACCAAAGCGGTGCATTTGGCACAACAGCTAGCAGTGTGATCCAAATTGCAAAGAAAAAATTGCTTAGGTTTCAGAATAAAATTTCATAAACATGAAGTGTGTATGAGAATAATCAAGACTAGTCCCCATATTTTATTAATTTTTTCCTGTTTTCAAAGATTTGTTTTCTACTTTGCCCTGAGAATCTGTACTGCATTTTAAAATACAAAGGCATATATTGTAAATAATCTGTATTTCTCCTACATTAATTAAAAATGTTCCATAGCATAATTCTGACTGCATGGAAAATTTACAAATAATGCTTTGCAAAGTGCCTCTTCATTAACCATGCCGACTGGAACAAGTGTGCAGTAAAGGAACGCGTTGGCAGCGTACACTTTATTTTCCCTCATTAGAAAAACACCGAAACCCAAAGGAATCCCCGCTGCAGCTGCCCACAGGTGACAGTGTGAAACAAAGAACTGAAAGTGTTTATTTGAATATATTTGACCGTTGACCCAATGCCCTGATAACGGCATTTTACCCAAAGAAGACAATATTGACAGAGATAACTGGAATCAGCACCCAGCAGAAATAGAAATGATGGAAACGTTTTGCACAGGTTCCCAGGATGGAAGGAGCGGGCGGTGAGCTGCTCCCCTGCCCAGCAGCCCTGCACACAAAGCTGGCAGCTTTCTTGCCTATCCAGAGGGGGATTCTGACCCAGCTGAACCATCCCGGGGGCTCTGAGCAGCCTGGGATAAAGGAAGGTGTCCCTGCCACGGCAGGGCGTGGAACTGGGAGATATGAGGGTCCTTTCCATCCCAAACCCTTCTGTGATTCCATGATGCTCGGCTGAATTGGAGGGGAAGTCTGAGGAGCGCCCTACATTTCCAGCTGTTTCTGAAAGCAGGCCTGAGGAGTGCCTTCACCCCTGTGGGCACAAACAGCCTTTTCTGGGGCGGGCACCACGGAAACGGCGAGATGCCGATGCCTCGTGAGAGGAGTGATCAGGAGAGTTTGGGTTTGGTGCTTAAAAAATGCAGATACCCAGTAAAAAACAACGGAATCACAGAATTTTCTGAGTAGGAAGGACCCACAAGGATCATCGATCCAACTCCTGGCCCTGCGCAGGACACTCCAACGATTCCGCCCAGCGCCTGAGAGCGCTGTCCAAATGCTCCTGGAGCTGCCAGCCTTGGGGCCGTGATCACTGCCCTCGGGAGCCTGTTCAGACCCCATCCTATGGATGAAAAACCTTTTCCTAATATCTAACCCAAACCTCTCCTGAGGGAATGTCAGGCCGGGTCGTAATAAATACAAAATAATCGGAGAAGACCGGCCAGCTCGCATTACCACTCGGCACACACGCCCCGCGCGGGGAGAAGCGGGGGCTCATCTGGCCGCAGCAGGAGCTCATCTGGCCGCAGCAGGAGCTCATCTGGCCGCAGCAGGAGCCCGTGTGTGGGGTCCCGTCCCCGCCCGCTGTGGGTATGCGTGAGGGGACGGACATTTCCCTCAGGGACCCTCGCGCGCGGGGCGGGAA